AGAGAGAGAGAGAGAGAGAGAGAGAGAGAGAGAGAGAGAGAGAGAGAGAGAGAGAGAGAGAGAGAGAGAGAGAGAGAGAGAGAGAGAGAGAGAGAGAGAGAGAGAGAGAGAGAGAGAGAGAGAGAGAGAGAGAGAGAGAGAGAGAGAGAGAGAGAGAGAGAGAGAGAGAGAGAGAGAGAGAGAGAGAGAGAGAGAGAGAGAGAGAGAGAGAGAGAGAGAGAGAGAGAGAGAGAGAGAGAGAGAGAGAGAGAGAGAGAGAGAGAGAGAGAGAGAGAGAGACAGAGAGAGACAGACAGAGACAGACAGAGAGACAGCCAGAGAGACAGCCAGAGAGAGAGACAGACAGAGAGAGACAGAGAGAGAGAGAGAGAGAGAGAGAGAGAGAGAGAGAGAGAGAGAGAGAGAGAGAGAGAGAGAGAGAGAGAGAGAGAGAGAGAGAGAGAGAGAGAGAGAGAGAGAGAGAGAGAGAGAGAGAGAGAGAGAGAGAGAGAGAGAGAGAGAGAGAGAGAGAGAGAGAGAGAGAGAGAGAGAGAGAGAGAGAGAGAGAGAGAGAGAGAGAGAGAGAGAGAGAGAGAGAGAGAGAGAGAGAGAGAGAGAGAGAGAGAGAGAGAGAGAGAGAGAGAGAGAGAGAGAGAGAGAGAGAGAGAGAGAGAGAGAGAGAGAGAGAGAGAGAGAGAGAGAGAGAGAGAGAGAGAGAGAGAGAGAGAGAGAGAGAGAGAGAGAGAGAGAGAGAGAGAGAGAGAGAGAGAGAGAGAGAGAGAGAGAGAGAGAGAGAGAGAGAGAGAGAGAGAGAGAGAGAGAGAGAGAGAGAGAGAGAGAGAGAGAGAGAGAGAGAGAGAGAGAGAGAGAGAGAGAGAGAGAGAGAGAGAGAGAGAGAGAGAGAGAGAGAGAGAGAGAGAGAGAGAGAGAGAGAGAGAGAGAGAGAGAGAGAGAGAGAGAGAGAGAGAGAGAGAGAGAGAGAGAGAGAGAGAGAGAGAGAGAGAGAGAGAGAGAGAGAGAGAGACAGAGAGAGACAGACAGAGAGACAGACAGAGAGAGACAGAGAGAGACAGGTACAACATTGGTCAAGTCAACAGTGTCTTCGGCCTTTAATCTTCCCAGTTTCATCAGAACTGAATGAATAATAAATATAATCTATTTCCTGGATCACCTGAGAACATAAAAGCATTATTCAATCAGTTATTGATCACTTACGTTTTTATGTTTTTTTCAGCTTCACTTCATCTTCACCTGAAAACTTTATCTCCAAAACATCACTACTTACTACTAACATTTTGTTTTCATTGATCATTAATGAGATCAGTTAATTGAATGATCACTTAGTCTGTAAAACATCCATCTCATTCTCAGAGTCCAAGTCAGTGTTTTCAAATGGCTCATTTGTCTGAAGGTCACAGAAACAAACTTCTGACCTTTGAATGTTTTAAAGGTTCAAACTTTTCTCTCTGAGACATCATTCATTTTCTTTCATTGCTATTAACTATAATTATTATTATTATTATTATTAATTTATTACACACTCGCAGAAGTAGGATTTTTATTAACATGAAATATGAGCCGTACGATCAGAGTGTAGTTAGTGTAGTTGTCTGCAGTCTGACCTCCTGCCACACTCTACCTGCTCTAACATACCTGTCTGTCTCTCTCTACCTGTCTATCTACCTATCTCCTTCTCCACCTGTCTGTCTCTCTCTACCTGTCTATTTACCTGTCTCTCTCTCTGCCTGTCTGTCTGTATCTTGTAGGCTTTGTGCAGAGTAGCCGTCTAGTCTAGCGCAGTAATCGACCCTTGAGGACATCTCGCCACAGGAAGTGATGTAAAGAGCTCAGAGGAAATCTGGTAAAAGCTTTTCATTGGACAGTTCTTCAGATATCTGACCAATCAGCTGATGTGATGGGCGAAAACAAAGAACTCAATGTAAGATCATATATTAGATAAGGTCCAACACACAGATCAGACATTAGACAGGTCACACACACACACACACACACACACACACACACACACACACACACACACACACACACACAGATCAGACATTAGACAGGTCATAGTTGTTAACTATCTGAGGTGATGATCAGTAGAAGTCAGGTTAGATATTAGACGGGTCCCACATTGATCAGATATTGATCAGTAGAAGTCTGTCATGTATCAGTTGGAATGTTTTTCAGATTCACTGACCTGAGATCTTTAAAATCAAAGTGTGTAAAAATGTTGAATTGGAAGGAAAAGGTAATTGGCTTCGTTAGAGTGGACAATCCTTCCTGTCGGCTGAACCTTTAAAGATTGAAGAAAAACTGAACGTCACAGCAGTGATGTCACTGTGTCCTACAGGGTGTGTCTGTACACTGTGACATCACTGTGGGTGTAGTCAGGACAGTAAAAAAAGAAAGGATGGCTTAAAAAGTTTGAAAGTTAAACAGTTTAAAAATTTAAAAATGTTAAACTGAAGATTAATGAGTGAAGACTGTAAATATAAACTGTAGCTGCACAGGTGTAGCCCCGCCCCCTGTAAACCTGCTGATATTTACCCCGCCCGTCAGATTTAACCAGACTGTATTAGCTCCGCCCGCTGCTCCCCTGCCCCGCCCCAGGCTTGTTGATCCATGATCATGTTATTGATTGATTGTGTGAAATGTGAAATTTTTATTTTATAGTGAGATATTGATCAGTTATTTCTTGTTTTTTTTATTTATTGAGATGTGAGATGGCTGATCACGCTCTTTTCAACTTCCTGTATGTTAAACTTTCAAAATAAAGTACCTTCTGAATCAAACAGTCAGCTGTCTTCATTCAGCACTGCAGCAGTTACTTCCTGTCAGCTACTCAGGTATAGACAGGTGTCATTGATCATATTTAACATGAACTCTGTTTAAATGCTGAATGAACATCAGATTAAAAACTTTTGTCATCAGCATCCTCTTCAACAGCATCAGAGACCATATCAAAGTCCGGTCTGAACCTGAACCTGGACTCATCTTTAAATGTCTGACTGAATGTATTTTTTAGAAAGAAAGAAATCAGATGTTTGATTGATGAACACTTTCTGTGTGAAACATCAGCAGGTGAGATTTTACATTTAATAACGAGTCACATTGTTGTTTAAAACCTGATCAGTTTATATGTTTGATGAGTTGAACTCTCTTAAACATCAGATGTGACTAAATAAATAAATGTACCTGATCATAAGGTGATGAGTTTGATGACCAGTTAGTGAGTCCATCCACTGCTGATTGGGCCATGATGATGTAACCCAGGTTATTTTCTGTAGCTTCAGTTATAGATTTCCCTAAATGCCACTTATGCAGATAATCGGTAAACCCTGTAAATTACTGATGTTCCCTGAATGCATCACAAGCAGGTCAGCTAGACGGCAGCGTGCAGAGAAGTATCCAGTCTCCCCTCAATCATGCAGCGTACGCGACGCAGACATGGTTGTCTTTGTTGGAAAGAGTGAAATAATTCAGATAAGTTGAACTGGCGTATCGCCAGAGAGAGAGAGAACTGCCGCAAGCTGCAGGGTCGCTGTGGAAAGAGGAGCACGTGAGAAACTCTGGCGGGTGTTTTCTTCTAATTACCGGAGTATCCTGGTGAGTTAGCATCAATGTTTTGCTCCTAAATAATTTACTGGTGTGTTGTTTTACCTTGAAATACATGTAGAGCTTAAAACCAGTCAGGATATATTTGTGTGATGTGGTGGAAACAAAACTTAGTTGATGCTGCTGAGTTTTTTAGCCGCTAATGGCTCTCGGCCGCATTGCGGCCTAGCGCTAAGCTAACTGTCACTAGCTGCTGCTGTAGCCTGAGATAACACATGGGACAGTTTGTGCTTAATTGGAATGTGTTTAAACTGATGTGTGTATTATAAAATATAAATTGACTGGATATGTGAGTTTATTTGAAAAGTGTGTGTACATAAAAGAGATAATTTAGTTCATATGTTTATTATAGTTAAAGTTTAATTCTGTGTTTATGCAAATTTAATTCTGGTAACTCTAAAACAATGGATAGTGAAAACCAGAAAATACAGACTGTTTTAACTGTTGCACCCCCGGACGATCCTATCTGTGACACCGTGGAGCTGCTTCGTCTTCTAGTCCAGATCACCATCACTGTTGTGGATGCCTTCATCTTGTCAGGACGCTGACAAGTGTGGGTTGTGCCAGTCCAAGGGACAGTAGGGACCAAATCAAAGGAACTCAACCTGAGGAGAATTATTCTATTTTTCTTTGGTACTTTTTCCACTGAGATCTCAGGTCATTTTTTTGTTCTTGAAGCCAAGAGAGACTGAAATTAAAGGGAAAAACTAAAACTGAATTGAACTGATAACTGAAACATAAAGGTATTTTGGTCCACTGGTGGATACATTTAATTTGTGTATGAAGCACTGAGAATTGGATATTCTTTTATTTTCTAACCACTACAAATTTTGGTGAACCATTCATTTGTGTTTATCCTGTTTTATGGTATTTTGAGTTAAAGATTTGGGTCAAACAATCTTGTTCTTTTGAAGAGGTACTTTAATATATACGAGAAAGGTATCTGAGAAGTGATATGCCATGATATGATATTTTCATAAATACATTCTCCATCTTTTTCTACTGAGTCAGTGGTTGTGTGGGTTGGAGGTCTTATGCCTCTCCTCTTACAATCTCCTTACTGAACCTAGTGAACAGTGAACCTAAAACCTGAGGAAACCTGTAATCATATTGAACTGTGAGGTCTAAGCCAAGATCAGCAGTATAGGAACCCTACTAAAGGGGAAGGTGATGTGCAGGTTACAATGACATCACCTGCTTGTCAATGACAAAACAGTGAGTGTTTCACACTTTAGACTCATTTATAATTACACTAATTTATCTCTAATGAAAAGTTTTTCTTCAGTCACAGGGCAGAGTCTTCAGGGCACAGCTGGACACATGGACCCGCACCGGAACCTGAACCTGAACCTGAACCTAAACCTGATTGACACCCTAAAACCAGGTCTTAAACCATAAACAGCCCTTTGAAGTTGTGAGTGGCCAAAATGTCCTCACAACAATAGAGAGACACACACACACACACACACACACACAGAGGAGGAGGAGTCAGTGGGCAGTGAGGCCCCTCCATCACTGCCCACTGACTGCTCAAAACACAACACAGCTGTTACCAGGGAGATAGGGCGGGGGGGGGTCTCCATGGTAACAGCTGTGTTGTGTTTTGAGCAGTGGAGACCCACCCCCACCATATCTCCATGGTAACAGCTGTGTTGTGTTTTGAGCAGTCAGTCATGGAAGATCAAAGAGTTCAGACCTGCAACGTTTACAGGACAGATCCAGACCTACCACACAGGTTCAACAACCCTGACTGTTTCCATGGTTACAGGTACACTATTACAACTTTATACTGTTAGTTAAACTTGTAAGTTATCTGTTCACTGATACAGCAGAACGCAGTACTGTTAGTAATTAAATACTACTGCTACTTCTAACTGATACATGCTAGTACTTTTACTGCAATGATTAATGTAGTAAATCTGCACTGCTGCTACTACTACTGTTACTACTAACTACTACTACTCTTACTACTAACTACTACTACTGCTAACTGATACAAGCTAATACTTCTATATTGATTAATGTAATGTAAATCGGTGCTGCTGTTGTGATACAGTTAGTATTGATTAAGCTGGTACTAATTTTACTAGTACTGGTGTTACTGTCAATACTACTACCACTACTACTGCAACTACTACTGTTACTACGACTGTTACTACTGTGACTAATACTTGACTATAAAACTTGTTTTATCTGTTTGTGTTTCAGTCAGAAAACGAATCATCCTTTATATCGAACATCGAATCAAATGTATGGCAGCAAGAGGCCTACCGTTCATGACATACAGGTGAGAGAGAGACAGGTAGAGACAGACAGGTAGAGAGAGAGAGAGAGAGACGGGTAGAGACAGAGACAAACAGGTAGAGAGAGAGACAAACAGGTAGAGAGAGAGACGTTGAGACTCAGGTCTGATAATATTTAATTAGACTTCACCATTTTATCCTGTGCAGTTGCCATGACAACAGTGTGTCAGACTCAGTTTAAAGGGACAGTCTCTCAGTTCTGTGTGTGTGATGTCAGCGGTGTTGTTTGTGTTTCAGACTCAGTTTAAAGTGACCTCCCGTCAGTTTTCGGAGGCCATGCTTCAGAGTGGGATGTACCGCGATCATGGCTTCAACATGTCTGTGGAGAAGAGCAGAGTGATGGTTTCCACAGCCACGCAGGAGAACAGATCCAGCCTCCATCATTTGTATCACTATGGCAACCGAAGCAATGACCAAGATGGAAATAAGTAAAGAAAGAGCTGACATCCAAATGAGAGAGAAAATAAAAGTAAGAAAATCTTAAGTGATGGTTCAGAGTGAGAGTGTCTTTAACAGAAAGTTTAAACAACATTAACATGTCTTTATAGTTACACTGGAACACTGTACAGCCTGCTGTGGAAATACTTTCATTACTTATCGCCATAGTAACCCATCATTACCATAGTTAAATAACAACATGCTCCTGAACGCCTCGTTTCTTCTTCCCTCACTGAAATCTTGATTCATGTCCAATAGACTCAGTGTGTGTGTGTGTGTGTGTGTGTGTGTGTGTGTGTGTGTGTGTGTGTGTGTGTGTGTGTGTGTGTGTGTGTGTGTCCTAAACCCTACTGAGGACCATCTGACACACATGCACACTGTTGCCTGCAGATTGAGATTTTGTTTCCATGACGACCAAATGAGGAAAATGATGATTAATTTAAAGTTTTTTTTCTCCTTGTCTGTTTTTTCTTCTTTGTCTCATTCAGACTGAAACACCTTCATTTCTGTGACCTCTCACCTTTCACCTGATCATCCGTTAAATCTGATTGGTTGAATCTAAAGTTCCTGAATAGAATCTGATCAAACTGCTGCTGCAGGACACGCTTGATCTGAACATGAGTCAGACAAACATGGATATAATATGTAATATGTATTAATAATAATAATAATAATAATAATACAACAACAGTTTGTGTTTCCCTCCTGCTGATATTAATTATTTAAATGTGTGAACGTCTCCTGTGAAGCAGCAAGATTCATTTCACACTTCTTTATTTTAGACCAACTCTCACTCTGCTTCATCCCACATCTTCATCATTGTCATCTACATCTCACTGACACATTACTGTTAATAATACCAATGATAATAGTTCTGACATGATATCATGAACAAAACCTCATCCTGAAAATAAATACAAACACACAGTTAGAGTAGTCAGAGGTCAGATGAAGGATGACCTGATGAAGTCATGATGACATCACTCAGAGGGTCAGTCTTTGCCATCTATCCACCTCCTCTGGTTTCAGTTACCCTCCATTCTAACCTCAGCTCCACCTTCTGTTTCCTCATCACATCAGAGAGACTCTGTGACATCACTGACCTCATCACTGACCTCACTCTGCTCGCTCTGACCTGCATCACACATGGTTGACTGACACCATCTGATCTCAGAGCAGCAGTGACCTGCTGACCTCCAGGACTGTCAGTCCTCCTCCACCCCCACCATACAAACAAACCTCTCAGCTGCTGAAAAGATGGCAACCATCAGCCGAACTTCTCAAAGACAACCAGTTACTCTCCACTTCGCTCACATGCGATCTCTGCACCCCCAGGTCAGCACCTCACCCCCTCCTCTCTTATTCTCTAACATGGGCCCACATGTCTAACAGGTAGTCGACCTACCACATGTTCATCTCCTCTCACTGAGAACGACGTGTCAAACCTCTGACTGGGAGTTGACCTACGACGTGAGATAGATCGCTTTTCCACAAAACTCCTCCAAGTTACATCTTCCACACGTGATCTGTGACAACTGTCCATGTTACTTTGTTACTTCCATTCTTATCTAGGTGTAAAAAAGTTTACTCTCTCATAACAACCTCTTTGATCCAGGTCAGTCTGTTTGAAACAGCTCTGTTGTCTGCGACTGAAGCTGCAGCTCAGTCCTTGGTCCTGGTCTTGCTGGACTCTCAGTGAATCTTCCTGCTGTCTGTTGTCTCTGACAAGGGCATCTCACTAAAGTCCTTTCTTGGTTTGAGTCCTCTCTCTCTGTCTCTCCTTTAGTATCATGACTTGCGTCATTATCCCATCCCCTCCCCACTGGAGTCCCCCAAGGATCAGTACTGGGACCCCTCCTCTTCGTAATACACACCATCTCCTTAGGTCCAGTTATCCACTAGCATGTCTTGCCATATCACTACTATGCAGAAAACACCCAGCTATACCTGTGGTTTTCGTCAGACGACTGTCTCTGTGACATATCCACATGATGAAGGAACGCCACCTTCAACTAAACCTCTCTAACCCTGACCACAGCATTACCACAATATTAGATATGAGATATTAACAAGTTTTTAATTTCATGCAACACACAGACAATGTCATGTTTAAATTACTCCGACACCACGATTCACTGCAATAAAACATTATGTTTATTTAAATGTGTCATCCATAAACACTGTTCATAAAATAAAAAATCTCTTAGAGCTATACAAAGGCAACTGGACATGCTTGAGGTTTACGACGTTTCCATGATGATACCATGACCTGGATGACAGACATGAAATACTATTAGTTTTCATTTTAAACATCTGTGATAAAATAAAGATGTTTTATTGTTTCTATCAGTGTTGAGCCGACATTTTACTGCCTGAGGCCAAATGGCTTCCTGCACACACACACACACACACACACACACGCTCTCGCTCTCTCTCTCTCTCTCTCTCTCTCAGCATCATGGACAGCTCCTCCTTCTGCTGCTCAGATCTGTTCACCAGCCAGGCTGTGACATCATCATCATCACACACACACACACACACACACCCCCAGTGAGCTGGAGGATCTTGTTTCCACTCGGCTGATTTTTGGTGTCGAATCAGAGAAGAACGAGAGAGGAAGGAGGAGGAGAGAAAGACAACAGATGAACAGATTAAACCAGGTTAACAACCAAATTAATAAACAGATAAACCAGCAGGTTAATTAGCAGGTTAACAGATAACCAGGAGGCAGTGGATATTTGTTGTTTGAGGAGAAACAGATGGAGTCTGAAGAAAATCTGCTCAATGCTTTTCTGCTGCTGCTGCTCCTCGGATCACAATTTACCCTGGTAAACATCTATTATTTACCCTGCTTCTATTCTGTTCTATTCTATTCATATACTGCTTCTATTCTATTCTATTCTATTCATATACTGCTTCTATTCTATTCATATACTGCTTATATTCTATTCTATTCATATACTGCTCTTATTCTATACTATTCTACTCTGTTCTATTCATACACGGTTTCTATTCTATTCATATACTGTTTCTATTCCATTCATACTGTACCTTGGTGAAATTACACTGTTTCTCTTGTGTTCTCTCCTCTTTGTACTTCATACACAGTGGATGATTTTAATCACTGATGTCTGACTCTACAGACATCAGTGTTAAGGAAGAACTGTTGTAGCTCCTGGGTTAGATCCCTAAACCCCCCCAGGGTCCACACCACAACACAACAGAGACTGTGCTAGTTAAAGTTTTAAACATCGACCTGAGATGCGATGCATCAAAAATGTAGGTTTTGTATTATTGGGTCATTGCTGCATTTGACACGATTGACTATAAGACACTGCTCCAGACTGGGAGAGTGGGCGGGACTCTGGCTGAATTGGTTCAATTCATATTTACAAGACAGGGACTACTATGTGTCAGGTGGTAAAAATCATGTGGAGTACCTCATGGCTCCATCCTAAGGCCTCTTCTATTCAACATCTACAGGCTCCCCCTAATTTTATATCTTCTCGTACCATAACTATGCAGATGACACACAACTCTATGTAACAGTGTCACCAAATGACTACAGTCCCTTACATTCACTGAACAAGTGCATTGGACAAATCATTGAATGGATGTGACAGAATCTTCTACAGCTGAACATGGACAAGAAATAAGAGGAAAGATGAAAAGTCAGCGCTTGCCTTGAATCCATGAAACTAAAACCTACAAATCAAAACTGTCTGTCTGTTTGACTGACTAAGTGATGACTGACTGACTGACTGAGTGTTGTTACTTGATGATAGTAAGTCTGTGCTGCTGTAATCCTACTTCCTGTGTGACAGGTGGGTCCTTCAGCCCCTGAGGAGGGCTGGCAGGTGTATAGTTCAGCTCAGGACTCTGAAGGTCGATGTGTTTGTACGGTGGTTGCTCCTCAGCAGACGGTCTGTTCCAGAGATGCTCGAACCAAACAGCTCAGACAGCTGCTGGAAAAGGTACCAAAATACTTTAGCTGATAGTACTACTACAGTACTAATGACAGCAGTAGTACTGACAGTATTACTTGTATTATTATCACAATACTACTGCTGGTACCTCTGACTGTGGTAACAGCAGATTAACTGAAGGTACAAGCACAGTGGCAGTAGTACTGTAGTACTGATAACTGCAGTATGTCTTCCAGGTGCAGAACATGAGTCAGTCCATCGAGGTCCTGGACCAGCGGACTCAGAGAGATCTTCAGTTTGTGGAGAAAATGGAAGTTCAGCTGAAAAGTCTGGAAAACAAATTCAAACTGGTGGAGGACGGACACGAGACCAACATCGCCAGACAGTACAAGGTACCGTCCACTTTGTGAGAGTGACCAATCAGCAGCTCAGCCTGAACATGACATCATCTCTTAAGCTACCGCTCAACATCTCTATATAAACTCTGGTTATCATATCTCATGTAATGATGCTGAAAGTGTCAGCACATTGGAACAGGTTCAATAATCTCTGTGTTCATCATCCACTCTTCTGTGACCATGTCTCTGTCTCAGTCTATCAAGGCAAAGATGGAGGAGCTGCGTCCTCTGATCCCAGTCCTGGAGACCTACAAGGCCGATGCTCTGCTGGTCCGACAGTTTAAGGAGGAGGCAGCAAATGTGACGGAGCTCCTGGGATCGCTGCAGGAACAACTGGGAGGACTGGACTACCAGGACCTGCACAGCCGAGTGATGAGCCTGGAGGACCGACTGAGGGCCTGCATGCAGAGGCTGGGTGAGGCAACACAGATATTTAGTGAACACTGAACCCAGATGTGATGTCACAGAGTGAACATAAAACATCACAAACAGGAAATGTGTAGGGCTCAAGGAGACGATGAAGACGATGAGGAAGAGACATGTTATTAGCAGATCTGGGTCAGAAGACTTCCCTGAAGGAAGTCTATAAGTATAATATAACAGTGTTTTTGTTTTCTGTGTTTGTGTTTCAGCCTGTGGGAAACTGACAGGAATCTCTGAGCCAATCACCATCAAGACGTCTGGGTCCAGGTTTGGATCGTGGATGACTGACCCACTGGCCCCAGCTGGAGACAACAGAGTGAGTGTCAACAACAACAACAACAGCAACAGCAACATGACAATACAATAATAAAACGTAATGTGACATCACAACATATTAACAACAACAGCACAACAGGCACTTTTATCTGAGTTTAGAGACGATGTTTGATGAGGCTGGATAACTCTAATGAAAGACACTATCCAGATGCATTATGGGAAATGTGGGATCCCTTGTATGTTTGAATGTTCTGGTTTTAATTTGTCTGTCAGGAGAATAACTTCTTTATGGAGGAGACACACTTGGGTCACAGGTGTTTGATGATATGGGGTTGTGTCAGGTGTGTCACCTGCAGTGAACTGGAGTCACTTTGAAGGGTTATGGTTAGGCTTATTAACTAGGGTACTCAAGTAAATGTACTGTAAACTGCCCACATCTGACTGAGACTAGAGTACAACAACATTTATGAATTAACATTATAGTAAAATAAAATTTCTATATTTTGTTGAACAAAGTTATGAATCCCATTAACAGCAAACAGAAAAAGTTCGTCTTTATACATGTTTTGATTATTTTTACATCATTTATTTGGTTTCTTCCCCTAGGTGTGGTATATGGATGGTTACCATAACAACCGCTTTGTTAGGGAGTATCAGTCGATGTATGACTTCATGACGACAGATAACTTCACTTCTCACCGCCTGCCTCACCCCTGGTCCGGTACCGGTCAGGTCGTTTATAATGGATCCATTTACTTCAACAAGTTCCAGAGTCACACCATCATCAAGTTTGACTTCAGCACATCACTCATCAGCCGCTCCCGACAGCTCGACTTCGCTGGCTACAACAACATGTACCATTATTCCTGGGGGGGGCACTCAGATATCGACTTGATGGTTGATGAGGGGGGGCTCTGGGCTGTGTACGCCACTAATCAGAATGCTGGAAATATCGTCCTTAGCCAGTTAAACCCAAACACTCTGCAGATCATCCGCAGCTGGACCACAAACCATCCGAAACGCAGCGCTGGCGAGGCATTCATGATCTGTGGAACGCTTTATGTTACTAATGGCTACTCAGGTGGAACCAAAGTGTACTATGCTTACTCCACTAACTCCTCCACGTATGAGTACATCGACATTCCTCTCACTAATAAATACAGCCACCTGTCCATGCTTGACTACAATCCTCGAGACAGAGCGCTATATGCCTGGAACAATGGCCACCAGGTCCTTTATAACGTTACACTCTATCACATTATACAGTAAAACTGAGTTATAAACACTGTAGAACATGACAATGTTACACTCTACCATATCGTACACTGAGATGACTAAATATACCCTTTATATAAATCATGGTCCCTGACTTGTACTGAGTCTGAGTAGAAGATATCCGTCAGGTTGATTTCTGCTCCTCCAGGACAGAGGTAGATTAGCCTGTCATCACAAAGACTGAAAGCTATCTTAGCACCATCACAAGAAAGTCTACGGTCAACAAATTCAAGTCTGTCTGTATGTAACTAGCTAACAGTTCAAAGCTGCGTTCAGTCACTCTGGTTATTACTCAACACACAGCTCCAGTGCTAACTGCCACTAGACCACATTTGTTCACCTGTTCAATAAACATACAACATGTTAACATGTAACAAGACAGAAATCAAACAGACTTGGAGTTATTGGACCCTGTGTGTCCAGTCTTTGTGATGAGCTAGACTAAACACATCCTGGACATGGATCTGGAGCATGTCCCAAAGTATTGGACTGTTAACTTTGTTTCTTTACATGAATATAAAGTTACACTTTGACCACTTGTTGTTTTTAGGATAATGACTCAAGTTTGATACAAATGCACTAGAAATGTAAAAAAAAACATGCTGATACAATCACAAAGAAATGACACTTTGTGTTTCACAGTAAGATCTTTTAAATATTAGATGCTTGACACTGAAGAATGCTACACATTTTTATGATTAGACTTGTTTTTGTGACATTTTCTCACTTTGTGAAATCAGAGCCTCAGTTATTCTGAAGTAATAATAATAATCATTATGTTTTCTTATTATGTATTATATAGCAATACAAAATCTCTATTACAGTCTCTGTCCAATAATTCCCTCAGTTTTTAAATGAGTTATTGCAGGATGAGCAGGGCTAACACACTATATTTCTCTCCATCTTTTAATGTGCAGTTTCAACAGTTTCTGGAGTCATGATAGTTAAATTTTTATGCCTTCTCCAAACTGCTGGTGTGTTCATGCTGAGCTAGGATCCTTCACACAAACAAGCCTCTGAAATTTTCCATCTTCAGCTCAGGAGCCTCCATAACCACCATTGTCTGGCAGCAGGTCAGTGAGGGTCCACTGGTAAGGGTTGAGGATACAGGGCTACAGCTGTTTTGTCAAACAGGTTGAATCCAGTTTGAAATCAGTGTGATACATCAGGTGGATGTGAATGAGTTCAGACTGTGCAGGTTCTTTTTTTAAAAGAAATCCAGCTCAGTGAGGATTTCAGTGTTGTCCTTCTTTTGTACAAGTATTTGACAAACCTCTTCACTATACTAGTCTTTTTAAAGGGAATCTGCTTGAGTGCTAGAGTTGCTGAGAGTATTTGAGAGAATTTTAAGAATCAATTGAATGATTTTATTCAATTTTACTTAATTCCTGCTTTTCTGGGTTTTGTGTTTCAAAATGTTTACTGTATGTGATGTCTTTGTTCCTAGACATCCAGATTTTGGACTCTAGTTTCACACTGGAGTGAATAAAACCTACAGAAAGAAAACTGCAGGAGTTTTGTTATTCAACAGACTGCATGTAAGATGAAGAAAAAGGATCACTCAGTCTTTGTAACCAGTAGCCTTAATAGCTAACATGGATTGCATCACCCAATCACTATGTTTACTGTGTATTTTTTTTTTTGACAAAGTAGAGCCTGCTCTCGATTAATAAACGTTACAGCCTGTTGCTTCTGTCTGTTTATTTGAGATGAGCACAATGTTGGTGTGAAATACAGCCAGGGCCATGGAGTAAAAGCTATCCTAACAACTCTTCCCGCCTCATCCCTCCACGGGGTTAGGAAATTCAAACTATCTCAATGACTTTATGTTTCAGCTTCTCTTTCCAGAGGTTGAGGTAGAGATTAAGTTTTGTCTATATCAGACTTTAATCAGGTTCCTCATTCAGAGTCAGTCTAATTTGATTTATTGTTTTATTGAATAAGTTTATCGCTCAGGGCATTGAATCCTTGATTAAAGGTGGTTAATTTTCAAATATCTGATCCAGTGTTGTTATTTAGATTTCTGTGTCACTCATCACGCTGAGTAACATATGTCAGCCCCAGCCTTCTGAGTCGCTCCCTTCCGAAGGGCCGCCATGGTTAGTCTCTGATATGCTGCAGTGGCACACCGTTAAATACTGTTTTAATCTAAAAAAAAAAGTTTGTCCAAAGTCCACAAATTCGGTGTCTACGGACTCGGTTCGTCACGCTGAGTAACATATTGTCACAATCAACTTTGCTGCTCTCCTGCTGTGGTTGAAATTTCCACTCACTCACCCTCCGGCCACACCTCATCAGCCAAATCTGCCACACCTGGTGTTCCCAGCTGAGTCTCATCACCTAGCCACTTTATAAGCAGCTCTGTTTCATTCACTCAGTGCCAGATTGTCTTCGCTTCATGCCTGACCTTCCAGCACTAACCTGTGGACTGACTTCCCAGTACCGACTTGGCTCGCCTCTGATCTTCTCTTCTCATCTCTACCCCAGCAAACGCTACAGCCTTCCGTTCCTGACCACGAGTTTTGCCTGTAAGTTTTCTGGTCTCTGTCTGCTTGTGGCTGTGTGGTGTTTCACCACTTCAGTTTTCCCTGTCCTGCTGGTTTGTCGATCCTCTGCCTGTCCCCAACAATCAAAAAAACAAAAAAATGGTTGCTCCCTCTAGATTCATCTGCATCGCTACCTGTACACCGGTTCTTGACCCTTCTTATATCCCCATCAAGCCTGCCTGCCCCCTTGGTCCAGAGGTAACTCACTCGCCTGCCACACAGGAGACCCGAGTTCAAATCCCACCTTAGCGCTAGCTTTTCAAGCTAATTATCCGCCGGCTGAAAGTACGGTGGATACTGACCTGAGGCCAATTTGTTTACCTGTTTTGAGTGAAATAAAGACCACTGCTTCTACTACTGAGAGTTGTGTTGCATTTGGGTCCTGACACTCCCCGTGACACGTCAGCCCCAGCCTTCTGAGTCGCTCCCTTCCGAAGGGGCACCATGGGTAGTTTCTCATATGCTGCCGTGGCACACCGTTAAATTCTGTGTTTTAATCTCAAAGAAAAAAGTGTTACCAAAGTGCACAAATTTGGTGTCTCCAGACTCGGCTCGTCACGCTGAGTAACAAATGTCAGCCCGAGCCTTCTGAGTCGCTCCCTTCCGAAGGGTCATCTCTCATATGCTGAGGTGCCACACCATTAAGACTAGTGTGAATGTCACAAGGGAAAAGTTTGTCCAAAGTCCACAAGTTTGGTGTCTACGGACTCGACTCGTCACGCTGAGTAACATATTTCAGCCCGAGCCTTCTGAGTCGCTCCCTTCCGAAGAGCCACCATGGGCGGTCTCTCATATTCTGCTGTGGCAAACCGTTAAATTTTGTGTTTTTCATTCATTCATTCATTTTCTACCGCTTATCCTCTAGTAGGGTCGCGGGGGGGGGGGG